TACACTGCTCAGGCTCCCGGCTGCTCTATATGGAGCGGGCCCTGCGTTGAGTGCGGTTCCAGTTTTCGGGTACTCCACAAAAGCGCAGATTCGGTTGCTCCTGCGTTTTGTGCCTTCCCCGGCCTGAGCGGTTCAGGCAGCCAGAGGCTTGGGCGTACTCTCCCGGGTGCAGCACGCTTTTTCTCTCCGCGGCGAGCGGCCCAGGCAGCCAGAGGCTTGGGCACAATCTCCCTGGGTACAGCGCGCTTTTTGCCTCCGCAGCCCCAGCACGCACCGCCAGTCGGGTCTTAGGAAGTCTTTAGCTAGAACCCGGAGGCCTGTTTGCAGTGTGGGAGGGGGTGGCTTCTCAGGGGCTGAGTTTGCCCTTTTCCCCTCCCCCCTGCCTCCTACCTCCAGCGGGGATAGGCCGGCTCTTCTCTGGAGATTCTCAGTCCCTTTGTTTTGCGAACCGCCGGCAGTGTGTTTGGGCTGGTTAATTCTGTCCCTTGCTATCCCACAGTTTAAAAAAGCCCCCTCCGATTGCTCTCAGGGTCTTCGGGCCGGACCTCACCCTAAGCAATGCCGCCCGCTCCTCTCCGTTCCACCCCGCTTGTTGCTGGCGGGTACGGGCGTCTGGGGTACTTTTCTGCTGGGAGTTGCTTTTAGGCACGTAATCTGTGGGCCTTGTTTAAATTTTTCCTCCCAGTTAGAATGCAGAAAACTTCCCCCAGTCCCGCCTGTGAGAGGGTTTCCTGGTGATTGGAAACTTCCTCTATTAAGACTCCCTTCCCGGGACGGGTCTCCGTCCGTAGCTCTTTTGACTCCCTTATTATCGTTTATATTTTTTTGGTCCTACCTCCCTTCGAAGACAATGGGCTGCTTTTCTGGGCGCCTGATGTCCTCTGCTAGCGATCATAAGTTGTTTTGTGAAATTTGCTCAGCATTCAAATGTTCTTTCGATGAATTTGTAGGAGAGAAAGTGGTCTCTCCGTCCTATTCCTCCGCCATCTTGGCTCCTCCCCCCGATAATTAACTCTTTGAAGCAAAAATAACAGCGATGAATTGTGACGTCTTTAACACATGTAGAAGCAACAATATATAAAAATAAAACACAGGCAGAGAGGAGATAAATCAAAGTATATTCTTTAATTATAAAGTCCTCTCATTATATATACAGTGGTATAATTAAAGTTAGACTGTGTTACTTAAGCTATGTATGTTGTAAACCCCAGAACAACAAGGTGAAAAAAGTATGTAGGTGGTATGGCAAAATGGTATCAACTGATCTCAGACTCTATCTAAGTTGCAACCACATTAATGAAAATTTCTTCTGAGTAGTTTCAGGTCAGGAATGGCCATAAGAAAAATATGTGCAAGATTTAGAAGGCAGAGAGAAACAGCAAACAAACTACCCTCCAAAAGTCTAGTTATGGCCCAAAGTGTTACTGTAACCCATATACACTGTTACTGATCCACTGGCTCACCTCATGAACATGCAACAGAGAGAAGGTCCACAATTTCTCCAGATCTGGATTAATTTTCCTCATGAAAACAGATGCAAAAACCCTTAACAAAACCAAATCCAGGGATGTATAGAAAGAATAACACAACATGACTAAGTGGGGTTTCTTCCAGCAATGCAAAAGTGGTTTAACATGAAAGGAGCAAAGGTATCTTTTAACATAAATGACTGTACATAGAAAATCCTCTGCATTCTTTAAAAAGAAAAAGCTTCCAGAGTGACAGATAAATGTTTAAGGTCACAGGATACAAAATATATGACAAAAGTCTACTATATTCTCAAAAAACTAAACACAGAGCTACTATTTGATCCAGCAATTCTACTTCTGGGTATATACCCAAAAGAACTAAAAGCAGGGACTTGAATAGATTTTTATAAATTTGTGTTCATAGCACAATAAGTCAAAAGATGGCATCAACTCAAATGTCCATTGACCAATGAATGGATAAACAAGATGTGGTATGTACATACAACAGAATAATATTCAGTCTAAAAAAGGAAGGAAATTCTGACATATGCTACAATAGGGATGAACCATGAGGTCATTATATCAAAATAAGCCAGACACAAAAGGACAAATATTGTATGATTCTACTTCTATGAGGTACCTAGAACAGTCAAATCCATAGACAGAGAAAGAATGGTGGTTGCCAGGGGCTAGAGCAAAAGGAGAATGGAGAGTTAATGTTTAATCAGTATGGCATTTAGTTGGGAAAGATGAAAAAACTCTGGAAAAATGGTAGATTTATGTGCACAATAAAGGGCATGTACTTAATGCCACTAAACTGTACACTTAAAAATAGTTAAAAAGATAACATTTTAAGAAAGCCTACACATAGTTTCACACATACAGTGTTTTTCAGGTAAAACTAATATATATAATATTAGATTCAAAGTACTGGGTTTTCCTAGAGCATGGGGGACAGCGCAGGGAAGTACTGACTGGAAGGAGACTTCTATATTTCTACTTACATTGTTTTCTTAATCTGAATGTCGTTTTCACAGACATGTTCATTTTGTGCAAGTTCATGAAACTATACTTTTACAATTTGTGTTCTTTACTATATGAATATTATACCACAATGAAGTTTTATTTTTTGTCTTAGTTAATGACAGGTAAATTGTGTTTTTCTGATTGAGGACTGCATCATGCTTCATATCTAGATAGGTTTCAAGAACACATACCAGTCTAGCAAATGAGCCCAAATATCTATCTGGATGGGTGGTTTGGAAGAAGATGGATTCATGGATATGCACAGCTGAGTCCCTTCACCGATCACCTAAAACTATGACTACATTGTTAATCGTCTATACTCCAATACCAAATAAAATGCTTATATGAAAAAATAGTCTGACATCTATACTACAGTAAACATTTATTGCATGCTACCTGTCTTTGGCACATAGAGTATAGTTTTTCTCAAGAGGTGAAAATATTGCTTCTGTTTCAAAAACAGTCTAAAATGAAAGTCAACTTCTACTAATAACAACAGAAGTAAGTAGAAAATGAAATCTCACAGTGTAATATGAAAGTCTCTAAGTATATAAAGAAAAGAATGTTAAGGACATATATCTGTGTTAAAAAGATTTTTCTACATGTGAAAGTATTTCCAAGGCCCAGATGCTTATTGTCTCAGTTGGATTAAGTCTTTAGAACAAAAATATTATGTATTTAAAAAAAAAAACTGTCTGGTTAGGTCTTCTAATATTGAAAGCTATAGAAGACAGGCAAATTGATTAAGTTTTTATTTTTACTTTGTTCAAAACAAGTAATGATTTTTAACACAGGAAATAATAGTCTCAGTAATACTCTCATAATATACAAAAATATCTAATGTGGTTTTAGAATTAAAACAAAAAAATTATTTTCAAAATTCTAATTTATATGCAGAAAATTAGAAAGAGTACACTTAAAAAGTGCTACTAAGTTCTGGATTGAATAATAATTTACAAACTTTATCTTGGACATTACACAGTGATACTTGAACATGAATTCTGTATGTTTTAGGAGTGTACATGAACTAAAAAATTTACAGAGTTGATAAAGTTGTATGAATTAATATCCTTCCAAAAAGAGAAAAAAGTTGATGTTTTATATACTATTTATGGTTCATCTTTTAAAAACAAAACTAGAGAACAGACTTATTAGAAGAACTTATATTCTCCTTTATATCCACAAGAGGGAGCAAACATTTAATAAATCTTTATAGGAACTGCATTACATACTAATTTTTACATAAGACTTTTGGGAACAATAATCAGAAAAAAATAATAAAACTACCAAAAATATTTGAGTGTCTACCACATCCCATCAGAGTCTGGAAATACACCGGGTAAAAGATATAGTCATGATCTCAGATTTCACAGCATATCAG